GTAAATAGACCTGTCAATTACAATCTCTAATGCTTCTTTCCAAAAAGCTTCACAAGCAAGAACACACAGACAACTCACGTTCCAGCAGAAGAATTGAATCAGTAATCATTACTGTATGGCGTGAAAAAGAGAGGCGAACAAAAGGGGGAGGGGCATTGTACAGAAATTTTGGCACTGTATAGATATTTGAGCTCGGACAAATAAACGCAACTAAGTAAATGGGAGATAGGCTGTAACCGTGAATGCAATATCCGGGTAGTATCAGCATGAGCTGTAGGAAAATGCGAAATGAAAATCCAAATGATGCCTCGCCTTCTTGATGCTAACTACCCTCAACATTTTGGTAACTTAGCTAGGTCACAAGTGCCCATAAAAAGACAACTCGTCTGTGTGCTAATTGTTCGATCGGTCTTGGTATTCATGATACCAATCATATCTCACGTACTAGCCTTATGTTTATTCGGATTTCTTACATTTATTTTTCAATTTTTGGCCGTACTTTGTTATTCAAAACATCTTGCTAGCAACAAATATGCTTGCTAGCCATCTTTCTGGCGACGAAAAGATTTGCTGTTTGCGCTTTTTCCTTTAAATATTCTTAACAGCCTTAAGTACTGTTCGTCCACCTGCACTCCTCTCAGTCATTTAGCTGTAGACGAAAGAAGGAGACAATTATCATTTCTTTTCAGCAAAATGAATGAAGAAACCCGCATAGCGAAAGCCAGGATTACCAGCAGTGTGACAGCTGAAGATTCGGCCAGATCACCGATGGGATCGTTGCCAAACGTATGGTAACTGGACAATTTATCATAGTGCGGTAATATATCGAGTAAAGAATGAGCTGCAAGATGATGTTACAAAATCTAAAAATGTGGAAAAAGCGAAAAAAACTGGTGAACTGTCCTTTTATGTGGTTGAGCTAAGTTAATTATTAATTTATGCCGTTCTAATCCTCTTGCGATAACTTTGCTATATACCATTCTCACTAGCGTTACTATTCCATGGTTTATACAAAAAATAATTTATGCGATTTATTGGCCGAGTTTGATCGCTTTCCTACGTCATTCTAACATTGTTTTCTTTTCATTTCTGCAAAAAGCTGTAAGTTTGACAGGTATATCTATTTCATCAAAATCGGGCAAAAAAAGGCTTTTGCTGCAGTTTTTTTGTGTTTTGAATAGTAACAGTAATAGAAATACATCACTTTAGCAGTAAAAGCAGCTGCAATAGTAACAGCAGCAGTAAAAGTGATAGTAATGTAAAGTCCCACTTAAAACTGCACTTATTTCACAAAATCAAATGCAGAATGCTTAAATTTCATGCGAATAGCAAAAACTGATTCTGAAACTACAATGTAATATTGAAGTTTCGGCGGGGGAATTCATTGTATCGGAAATCACGAGAGTTGGGGCCTGAAATTTTAGAGTGATCTCCCCTATTACGTACGACCCCCACAAATTTAGATTCAGCCTTCACGCACCCCTGGGTGCCGCGCACAGCTCCGTGAAAGTTTTGAAGAGAAGAATTATTATCTTGTGGACCACGAAAGCTTGGTGGCTGGAATTTCAACGTAGCGTCACCTGCCCACTTCGCAAATTCCCAACGTTCCGTGGAAATTTTGGGGGGAAAAATCATTGTCTCGAGAGCCAGATGAGCTAGGGGACTAAACATTAAAGAAAGGTATTTCCTACCTAAGCAGGGGTTTTACCAACTCAAATTCAGTTGCTAACTATACCGAGCTTTCACGTACGAACATGTAAAAGTTTTGTAGCAAAAATCGCTTGAAAGCCCGAAAATTAAGAGGTTGAAATTTCGAAAGGATATTCACTCTTCGAGATTTCAAATTCAGCTTCCACGTACCGGTACGTGAAATTTTTAGTGGGGGATTCAATAACTTCGGAAACAGACAACATTTCAACTATTTTTGCACAGACCAAAATGCAAAGCAGTGAAAATCATTACCAGGCAATCGTTCGGTAGGCGGAATTGCACAAAACACATTACCGCACTGGTTGCCCTGGTGCCCACAGCTATTTATCCTTCCTGCTGCCACCACTGATTAATGATGGTCTAGCTATTTCCGACTACCTCGACATCTGATTTCTTAAGAAGTTTTACGATTGGCTGTCTGTCTGTGAATTTGATATTTTAGATCTAAATGCGGAATTGTTTATTATGGGCCTTTGTGTTGTTGTGAATTAAATTTTTAAACTTTTAAATACTTGTCCAGATATAATGTTAAGTGAATTTCGCCCTTAAACATGGGAACTAAGACAGAGAGGGCTTAAGAGTTACTTCAAATTTGTGCCCTGCATACAATCCGAGTTCATTTTGCAAATTTAGTTAGCTATAATGCATTGTGGGTAACTTGGGCGACATAGCTGGCAAATTTTCCAGTTGCAGTCATGAGTGCTGTTTCACTTCACGGTAATCCTGGTGTTTGTTCCATCTCTTGAAGGGATTACTAACTCAACGGTTCTGCCAACATAAGCGCTTTAGCTGCCAGGGATGTGTATGTGCATATGTATGTGTGTTTGTCAAGCATCGTCACTTCGCTAAAAAATTATCATTTCTAAACCATCTGTCTGTCAGGATGCAGGAGATTACAGTATTAAAAAGGACTCGCTTCGAGCCGGATTAATTTGACACCGCTAGTAAATCCTCTCGCTTGGATTTTTTGAAGCCCAGTTTACAAAGCCATTTTCTACCGCCCAATCTAGTTACCTACAAATTTTTTATAGTCGACGCAAGTGAATTTAATGAAAATTAGACTAGGCTTTTTGAATTAACATAAGCCATCAGTTCAATTAAATATGACCATGGTTATTTCAGGAAACTCAAAATCAAAGACTCCCGTTCTTTTAATTTGCTTTAATTTACACTCAGTCTTGGCCAATTATTTTTTAATCATTATGTTCCCTATCGGCACCAGTAAAATCTCCATTCCGCTTTGTTCTGAACTGCCCCATTCTTGCAACTCCAGAAATGATTCTTCCCATCTCCTCAGCAGTCGTTCCAGTGTTCCTTTTTGTTACCTTGTATGTACGATGGAAATTTTAAGGAACAAATGTTTTACGTGAAACTTGAATCCTAAATGCCACAAATAATGGTTTCCAAAAATAACTCTAGAAATGGATAAAAACAGCGCATCATATTTATTCGCATGGACACCGATGAAAAACATCAAGGACATATGTACGTACAAACAGTTTAAAGATGGATTTGGAAGTGTCAAATAGTTCCGACTTAACTGCCGCGTGAGGACTTACGCGGGCGTCCCGCTTTCTTTGCAGCTTCATCTCCTTCACGCTGTTTTCGAGCCTTCTCCTGTCCGCTGACTATTCTTCCTCGAAAACGCATCCAGCGCAATTGATCCGGGACGAAACGTGCATCGATGTTTGGGTTAATATTAGACCATTTGGATGCATCAGCTGGCTGAAATCAAAAATTCGAATTGAAAAATTGACGATGACTAAATTTGCTCTTAGGCCCTTCAGTGACATTATACTGGACAACAC